AAGGATTGACTTCCGGGATTCCTCGAGGAGGGCGTGGAGGGGCAGGTGGAATATGCGAGCGTGGGAGCAGCAGCGCCTGGGGGCGTGAACGTCCAGGGTCACGCGCCGAAGCCGCAGGATGGTGGCGTAACAGTTCGAACGAGGAGTAAGAACCACCTCGTCCCCGGAGACACTGCTACTACAACTACTCCTCCCCCTCCTCCTCCTCCATCCTCCATCCTCCATCCTCCATCCTCCATCCTCCATCCTCCATCCTCCATCCTCCATCCTCCATCCTCCATCCTCCATCCTCCATCCTCCTCCATCCTCCATCCTCCATCCTCCATCCTCCTCCTCCTCCTCCTCCTCCTCCTCCTCCTCCTCCTCCTCCTCCTCCTCCTCCTCCTCCTCCTCCTCCTCCTCCTCCTCTCCCTCTCCCTCATCTCCCCTCCCCTCCTCGTCCTCTTCCTCCTACTCCGAGATGCGGGGCGTGCGCAAGGCGATTGCGATGGCGATGTGCCGTCCGAGCTGTGGATTTCTAAGATCCTCGGAAGAGATGGTGGCAATACTTTCTTGGGCGGGAAATGTGGGTGAGGAAATATTTGATGAAACATCGGGCCCCGCATGCAATGAAAATCCCCCATCATGGGGTGTGGTCTCCAAGAATGCATGTGACATGTGGAAGCATGGCGCATGATGGTCAAATGATTGTTGTTTGTTGGTGTTGTTGTTGTTGCTGCGGCTATTGCTGTTGATGCTGTTGTTGTTGCTGTTTCTGGCGGGTCGTTGATCTCGAAGCCGCGCTAGAGAAAGCGGGCCCGCTCTGCCGCGAGAGCGGGGCGCGCGCGCGCGGCTCGGGCTGGCAGGGGCCGAGCCCGAGCGGAGACACCGCCTCGCGATGGCGGTGCGGCCCTCCGTCTCCAGCTTCGAGCTTGCGGGCGGTGCTGCGCCCTGGGCACTGGCGCCGTCGAACGGGCCACCTCCGAACCCTCGGTGAAAGGGGAAAGGAAGAGGAACGGGGGGAGCCGCGAGGGATGGGGGGAGGCGGGATGAGGAGCCACGATAGAAGGAGACCAGCTCAGGGGGGGACCATCGGCCTGGAATCGGCGATACATCGCCAGTAGATCGGCGACGACCCCCGGATAGCGAAACCCCGCGTTCCTGGGCGGGGTGGGCTATCGGGCCTCTCTCGGCGATGAGTGGGCGATTGGGGGTCGATGCGCCCCCCCCTTGAGCCTATCCACCCCTATCGCTGCCCCTGAATGGGGGGGAGGTTGGCGGCGCGCGCAAGGGGGTAGGGGAGGTGCAAGGTTTCTTGGAAGGAGGGCTTCTTCGAAGGCGCCGGCCCTACAGCTATAGACGAGGCCCGCGCCTCCTAAGAGGCAGGGGTGCCTCCGAGAAGCCTTCCGCCCTCCCCCCTGCCCCCCCTCTGCGCGCGAAAGCCCCCCCCCTCCCCTGCCCCCCTCCGCGCGCGAGCACCGGGGCCGCCGCCGGAGGGCCTGGGGACGGGCCCGCGCGCGGCCGCAGGAACAGCCGCCGAGGCTGCCGCGCGCGCGGCCGAGGGCAGACCCGCGGGCGAGGCGGCAGCGCGGTGGGCGCGTCTCCGTCTGCCTGCTGGCAGGCGCGGCCCGCGCGCGCGTCGGACGCGCACCGCGTCCCCCGCGCTGGGCGCGCTGAGCCGAGGAGCCTGGCAAGTGCAGCGGTCGAGCGTCGGCACCGCTGCGCGGAGCCCAAGGAAAGGGGGGGGGGGGGCGCGGAGGAGGGGGGTTCGCAACTCATGGCCCGAGGCACGTGCGCTGCCCAGGGTGGGCCAGTGGACGCGCTGAAATAAGCAGAAAGGGCCATGAAACCTCGGGAGATATCATGGCCCCGGCCATGATGTCACCCCCCCCCTAGTCATCGCCGTCTGATGGAGGCGCACGACCGAGCCGAACATCGAACTCGCACACATATCATATGGCATCAATGCCGTTGCTCAGGCGGCCTGGCCAGAAAGCGCCCGCCGCCGAGCATACACCGAGCAGCTGCTACACGCTCTCTCGGTGCGGGCGCGTCGCCCCTGAGGGGCCGGCGCGCACACTGATGGGCCCATGTTCCACCACCACATAGGTAGGAAGAGGAGGAGGAGGAGGAGGAGGAGGACCTCCTCATCCTCCCTTCTCCCCTGTTTGCATATGGTAGTGGTGGTGGTGGAGAGCTTGCCCATCACGCATAGTAGAAGTATGCGTGGTCGATGTCGGCGGCAGTCGAGCGTTGGCACTGCTGCGGGGATGGCGTCCGACCTCTGGGAGCGACTCTTCACCCGAGGCACGCCCCGCGGCTGTGGGGGTGGGCTCGCAAGAAATCGCGAGTGCCCCCGCCACGTTCCGAATCGGACCCAGGCGGGTGGTCGGCCCGGGGGAGCCCGAGGGCTCCCCGAGCCCTCGAACATCTTCGCTTCGAGGACGTTCCGCGCGCTGTGCCCGCGCGTGCCGCCTTCTGGCCGCTAGTCTCTTTTTCGCTCATCCAGTCCCGTATCACATTACCTCGTATCATCCCATATCAAATCATGTCGTCTCATACCCTTTCCCGCCTCTCCTCTCATCTCATCCTGTCGCACCCCGCCCATAATGTCCGCTCGCCCCATTGACCCCATTCCCATTCCGTTCCCTTCACTCGCTTCCACGTAGCTGTTTCGGATTTTAGCCATGCGGTGGATGGTGTCACACGTCGGAGGGCGGCTCCTGCCTGAGACGCCCTCGCATTGTCGTGAAAGGGAACGCTCAAGCCAAAACATCGCATTCAACCGCCGGCATGTCAAACACGGAATGGAGCATTTGCTCGAAACGTGATGCCCGTCGCTGCAACAACATCGGGGACGAAAGCAAGTCCTCGCCATTGTCAGAACTTGGTGAGGGGCGGCCCCATGCTCAAACACTGATCGAAGCATGTCTGCGTGACGAACTGAGCCGAAGGCCGTGGGGAAATATCGACGCTTGCCTCCACCAGTTGCTGTAACGCGACGACTTGTACAACGCGTTCGCATTCGCACTCTCATCAAGAATGGTCCTTGCCTTCTTGGGCCGGAGCGTGGAGGTCGTAACCTCTCTATGCGTACACGTGCTGGGAAAAGCAAGGACCAGACAGCACTAGCGAACTTCCCTGCTGGAGTTGGTTCCGGCGCCGGTGTCGGTTGGCGTGGTGTTGGCAGGTGTCTTGGTCGTCTTGTGCGGGTGCTGGGCTCCCGTCGATGAGATGCAAACGGACCCTATGCTCATCCAGATGGTTGTGTCGGAGGCTACGTGGATACACGTACTATCATTCATGGCGTCACTCAAACCGTCGATCGTGCGCGTGGTCGTAATCCGCTGTCGGATGTAGTCGTGCATTTCGTCCTCCCATCGTTTCGATTGTCGACCTTGTTGGTGCTGTCCTCATTGTTCCGCAACGAGACCTGAATGCCAGTGAGCAACTTGTTGAGTCCATCGGGAGGCGCTGCGACACGCTACTGTGTGGGCCTGTCTCCACAGAAGTCGTCGCTGCTTTGTGACCCATGGCTCCATGTCGTGTAGGTCCATCAAATAATTCGCTGTGTGTTGCGCGGCGGATGAAGTCGAGCCGTGGCTCGGTAAGGTCGTCAACGGTCAGATTGGTCAGATCGACCGCCTCGGGGAGTTCGGGTTCGTCGGGGTTGCTGCCGACGTCGAAGTAGTAGATGAACTGGTGGTCGTTGAAGTAGAAGCCGCGGAGGTGGCGGGAAGTGCTGTCCAAGAAATCGTTTGGCGAAGTGGTTGTAGCCTGTGCAGTGTTCGTGACGACTCGTACAACGCTGTCAAGCAATTGTCAACCGAACATCCCGACTTGCAGCAGTAGCTGTGATGTCTGCCAGCCGCAAACGCCACACAGGCCCGCTGTAAACTGCCGCGCCGAATCCCTTGCACATAATTGCGGCTCGTGGCGCCAACTCGTGCAACATTTCTGCCACTCTGACGCGCAAGGTGCATAGAGACGCCGTGCCTGCATGACGACACATGGAAATCAATGTGTGAGAGGTTGCTGCAGTGCCGGCAAGCGACTGGAAGAGCACAGCGTGAGAGCACAGCAACTCTCACCAACTCCGTTCCACTGCCCTCGCGCGCGTCACACGGCTGCTCACTGCCAAGAAAGATGCGGGTCCTGACGGAAGCGGGTCCTGGACCCCAGGTCTCCCCCCCTCCCCTGGGGCACACTCTTCATCGTGAACCATCCTTCTTGACGGTCCCTGAGCCCGGGGAGGGCCAGGGCCCGGGGACCCCGCAAACGAGGGAAAGCCTTAGGACCCAGTTTGCTTCGTGTCGATGCTGGCAAGAACGACGCGGATGGGGGGCGGCAGCCAGCAGAGATCACGACGGCTTCGCCAGCGCCCACGGGTGGCACGAGCACGAAGCGGGCGCGAAGCCCTCCGCGATCGCGGCACGAAGGTAGACAAGCGCGTTCCACTACTCGCAAAGTAGCTGCTCGCAAATGGCCTGGATCCGCCGCGCGGGATCTACGATCCATTACATCGAGGCAGTCATGTGTTTTTTTCGGACGCTTGCGAGTAGGCCCTTTTGCGAGTAGTGGATCGCGCTCGATGAGAAGAGCGGGCACGGCCGGTCCCGCGGGGCAGCTGCGACAGAGACCTCTCAGGCGGGCAGGCGGCCCCGCTGCGGAGAAGAGCTGCCGGGGCGGCGGGGGCGGCGGGGAGGAGCGGCCGGGAGGCTGCTCGGTGCCCGGTCGGTCGCGGTGCGCATAGGGGTGCCCAGGGGCTCGATGGGCCCGCTGGGGGGAAGAGCGGAGGGGCGGGGAGGACGGGGAGGGGCGACGGAGCGGGCGAGGGAGGAGAAGTGGGGGAGGGAGGGAGGGAGGGAATAGGAGAAGGGGGGGAGGAATGAGGAGAGAGGAGTAGCAAAGAAGATCAAGGGAGGCAGAGGGAAAGGAGGGAAGACGGGTCAAAGGGGATGAGAGGAGGATGAGAGGAATACGGAAAGGGGCTACCCCTGATCTTCAGAGTAGCGGGGCTCCGCAGTGTCGAACCACTTGACCCCGCCGCTCACGCACGCGTCGAAACCCTTGCGGATGTCAGCGTCTTGGGACTCGTCGTACTTCCAGAAGGTCCGATCGCCCCAAGCCCAGGCACCTGTGGCCACACCATCTCCTCCCTTCTCCCGTCCTCTACTCCTCCTTCCTCCCTGCCGCCGCAAAGGATAGACTGGAATTCAAACCCTCGTTCAAATCTTCCCTCATCCACCTTCCCTCGATCATCCTCCCTCAATCATCTTTCCTTCTCCCTTCCCCCTTCTGCTCCTTCGTCCTCCCTCCTCCGCCTCTTGTTCCTTCTCCTTCTCCGTCTTCTTATTCTTAATATTACTCTTCTTCTTCTCATCCACAATACACAATATGAATACTACTCTGATCTCTCCCCTGGTGACGTCCAGGAAATATTCGCCCCCCCTCCGCGTACGGTTTTTTACGCACAGGATTTCCGGGTAACGGGTTTTCGCCTGTTTTTTTTTGTTGGTTTTACTGCTGCTCTCGCTGAAACGCTGGCCTCATTTTCGGGCTACCGCTCGTTCCGAATCGTGCTGCCGCTGCAACGCTGGCCTCATTTTCGCGCTTCCGCTTGTTTCGAATCGTGCTCCCGCTGCAGCGCTGGCGTTATGATTTCGGTCCTTCCAAATGGGCCTCAAAATCGAAACAATGCCCCCCCCCCCGAAAAAAACATCGGAAGTGATTACACATTCGTTGCCGATTCATTGATTTATTGGGTCGCAGAACCCCCCCACTCTGGGGCGTCGCCACGCCATGCTTTGTCAGGCTACGCGTCCTCCGAATCGTGCTGCCGCTGCAGCGCTGGCCTCATTTTCGCGCTTCCGCTCGTTCCGAATCGTGCTCCCGCTGCAGCGCTGGCGTCATCATTTCCAGCGCCATGCCACGGTATGGTTTTCGGTCCTTCCAAATAGGCCCCAAAATCTGAAGAATGCCCCCCCGAAACAACCATCGGAAGTAAATACACATTCGTTGCCGATTCTTTGATTTTTTGGGGCCGCGGGAGCCCCCCCACTTTGGGGCTTCACCACGCCATGATATGTCAGGCTACGCGTTGATCTTCAACACCATGCTATGCCCTGCTGCGACATTCGACTGTGCGAATCGAGATGAGATGTACGCCATGGTAAGGGATGGGAGGGAGGGGTAGGACGTCACATATGACACGAGCGCACCTAGCTTGCCTTCAACCCCTCTTCTTTCTCCCTCCTGTTGCTGCCTGTTCCCTCCTCCCATCCCCACCCCTGCGCACAGTCCCAGGCACAAAGGTTTTATTTAAGCCTGCAAGGCCTGGGCCGTGCCGCATAAGGTCGCTCTGTGGGACACTCACGACACGAATCGCGAGCGGCTGAGGCTGACATCGACATGACAGGCAGGGTAGTGGGGAGCTAGCTGCAGCCGGTGCTCACGGAGACCCCTGGCCGACCGCTCGGGTGAGCTATCAGTCACGTCGTGGCCAGAGTTCGACAAACATCAGCGGCCAGAGTTCGGAAACCATATTGCTGCAGCACCGAGGGATCCAGCTCAGATGTCAATCTGCCCTCAACCACGTCCTGGCCAGAATTCGGGAAACATCTGTGGCCACAGTTCGGAAACCATATTGCTGCACCTCCGAGGGATCCAGCCCAGGTGTCAACCTGTCCTCGGACAAGCTCCGAGGGACCCAGGCCCTGGCCCTGCGAGGCTGCGCTGCAGCACGCTCGAGGGGCGTCCTGGCCAAGATCTGCGGCCCTCCTGTTGCAATAGCTGCAAGAGAACTGCGGGTCCTGCCCCCGTGTCTACGGCAAGTTCGCGTCGCGACGACCTGCGCGCTGGCTTCTGACACCGCGGGGATCGGTCAACGCTGAGCGAGAGCAGCTTTCCGATAGCAGAGGTCCAGGCCACTTGCGGCCACTTGCGGCGTTCCAGGCCACTTGCGGCGTTCAACCTCGAGCGACCGCACCAGGGTCGCCGCCGTGTCGACAAGACACGAACCTAACGTACGAGCGCGGGGGGCGTCGGGGGCAGCAGCAAGGGACAGCGACACCAACACTTCGGAGCAGAGCGAGTCGAGACGACGGCAGCTCGAAATCTATCCATGGACCCCTCCAAGGGTCCAAGCGCACCAGCTTTTTGAGCTGCGTCCAACCGTTACGACGAGGGCCCCCCCGAAGGCCAACTACCGATATCTCAACTCGCCTCCTCCCAATCCTGGCCCCTGGCCCGCGCCCCTGGCGCCCACGACCAGCTTGCCGAGCTCCAGGTCCCCGGCGGCTGCCGCGGCCCGCGCCCGCGTGGGGCCGCCTGTGGGACCAACAGTGCACATGCCTGCCGCCCCGGTTTTTTGGAGTGCGGGCATCCGGGGATCCGTTGCGGTCAGGGTTGACGGTGGCGGCGGCAACTGGGGGATAGAGGGCGAGAAGGTCCACCAGGGATGCGTGGGAGGATGGACGGGGGGGATGGAGCGGGTGAGATAAGGTCCAGGAGGGAGGGGGGAGGAGGGGGCGGGAAGGGAAGGAGAGGGAGGACGGGCGAAGGATAGAGAGGGAAAGAGGAATGTGGAAGGATGGGAGGGGAAGGAGGGGGAGGGAGGGGGAGGGCAATGGGACGGGAGCAGGGACTGAGAGGGGGGCAAGGAAGGGGCAAGGGACGATATGCACGGTGGGGGGGAGCGAGGGGGAGTGAGAAGAACGGACGTATGGCGGGGGGGAACCAAGTCTCTTATCTGCGGCCGCTTCCGAACCCGAATGCCAGCTTGTGATTAACAAATCCGTGGGGGGCGCGTGTTCAAAAAAATACTTCCCCTGCTCGGGCGAATCGTGGGGTGGCGCCCGCCAGATTGAAAATCAACGGGGCGGCGCCGGTGATCAGCGCCGACGCCCGGCCGCCAACGAGGGGCAAGGGGGGGATATTTGGAGGCAAGGGCGAGCCAGGGCGCCCCTCTTTCTGTCGAGCCGATGCGGGCCTGCGGGCAAGGCGGGCTGGACGAAAGCTGGGCGCAGCAAAAAAGTGGATTGGCAAAGCAGCTCACGTCGCCGATTTTCCAAGCGCCTCCTGGCGCCGAAAGCGGCCATGCGCCGAGGACGGGCCCTTCGGCGGGGCGACCGAAACCAGCTGCGCGCAGCAAGCGTTGCACCCCCCCCTGTCCTTCCCCAGCCTTTCATCCGTCCTCCTCCCCCCCTCTGTCGCCGTCGTCGCCGCCGTCCCCCCCCCATGCCTGCGCCCGTTTCCAGCGGCCGCTCTCTGCGTCGACGACGACGACGACGACGGGACGAGGACGACGACGACGACGACGGACCGCGGACGGCAGACGGCGACGGCGGCGGCGACGACAACGACGCACTCCGGATACCCTATGGGGGGGGGGTTGCTGCTGCGCAGGCTTGTCGGCGACGACGACGACGACGACAGCGGCGGCGGCGGCGGCGGCGACGACGACGACGACGACGCCTGAGAGGGGGAATGAAAATTCGCCTCGGATGTGTGCGACCCTTTAAACAACTTCTATACGAAAGGCAATCGTTTTGAGGCTGTCATGCAGGGGGGTACGCGATCCCCTCGGCGGCGCCAGTGACGACCCCCTGGCGCGCGTGATTTTTTAAAAGGTTTCGCGCCCCGCGGGGTCTATTCCTCAGCCCCGGGGTGGTGGGCGCGGCCTTTTGTTAATCACAAGCTGACAGTATCCTTTGCGGTTCCTAGCGGCGCTGAGGACATTGGACACGCCCGTCGGGGCTTCTCTCGAGCGACGACAAGAGGCGGGATGTACTCCAGATTTCGTAATAAAGGGAGGGGGGTCTCATTTCGGGGGGGGGTCTCTTCGAGGCTATCTTGGAGAGCCTGGGGGGGTCTGGGGACGATGTTTTGGAGGGTTCTCCCACGGGGGAGGTCTGAAATGGCTTGTCTTGGAGGGTCCAGACCCCCTCCCTTTTATCACGAAATCTGGAGTAAGCGAGAAGACGCCTTCGCGGACCGCCGGCGTGGCCCAGTGTGGCGAAGTGGGCGCTCACGCGCGACCCTGCGTGGCGAATGTCCGCACCGTCGACCCCGTTTTCTTCCGTCGCGCACTTGGCTGCGGACCTTCTTCGAACTCGGAGCCCCAGCCGGCACACCCGAAGTCCGGGCCTGTGGGGGGGCGCTGGTCCGAGGCCAACGTCTAATTACGCACACGCATCCACCGCTCGGGAACTCCCGCGCTTCTTGGGGATCCCCAGAACCGTTTGGTGACAGACCGTGCGGTGACCCCGGAACCCCAAGAGACCTCACCGCACGGTCCGTCACCGCACGGTCTCGGAACCCTGGAGGCCCCTGTCGCCCGAGACATCCTCGCAGAGGGACTCGAGTCCCAAAACCGTGCGGTGACCCCGAATCCCCACCGACTCACCACACGGTGTGGTCACCACCCCGTTTGGGGCCCCCCGAGCCTCCTGCACCCCGCGTGGACGTCTCTGGGCCTCTCCCGGGGCCTGGGGCCCCGAGAACTGGGTCCGCCGAGAAGGGGGGCCAGGGAGAGGAGGGCCAGCGGCCCCCCCCCGTCCTGGACGGCCCTAGAAGCATCCACGGCAATGGCCCGAAAGCCCGCCCCTGACACATCCGCTGGTCTGATGCTTCAATCCGAACCCCGGGATCCCGACCGCTTCCACTTGTCGTCCCGGGCCCACTTCTGTTGACGGTCCCGGGGCCCGAAACGGGCCCCGATGCCGAGGTCATGGACAACAGCGCACGGGTCAAGCTCACATCGTCGGAGATCTGGGCCTCGCCGTGATTTGTTTCACGACGCGAGGGCCTGGGCCCCCGTCTTCCATGAGATCCGACGATGCAAATAAAGCAACATCGCAAGACAATCACGACCCAAACTCACTACCGCATCTTTCTGCGGCAATGCTCGAGCCGGATCGATCCGTGAGAGCCTCGGGGCCCAAAAGCGGGCGAAAACGCTCGGTGCGAAAGAATTGCAACGCCCAGATCTCACAGGTCAAGGAGGAGGAGGAAGAGGAGGAGGAGGAGGAGGAAAGGATGATGATGCTGCTGCTGAAGATACTGATGATGATGCTGCTGATGATGATGGTGATGATGTTGATTCTGAGTCTGATTATGATAATGCTGCTGATGATGATGGTGATGATGTTTGCTGCTGGTGATGAGGAGCAGGAGATTGAGGAGGAGGAGGAGGAGGAGGAGGAGCCCTGGCCGAGGCACGGATCCGAGGCTTTGTCCGTGAGGGCCACCGGCCGCCGCTGGCAGCGCAACGGCACCAGCTCGCAGCAGCTCCCGGCGCGGCACCGGCGCGGCGCGCTGCCCGCCCGCCGCCGCCACGGCGACGCCCCGCCGACGGCGGGCGCCAGAGCGCGCCGCGCGCGCGGACAGTCCCGCGGCCGCGGCCAGCAGCCCTGCCGTGCCTGGGCCAGGGCTCCTTCCTCCTCTGCCTCCTCGACCTCCTCCTCCATCTCCTCCCTCTCCTCCTCCATCTCCTCCTCCTTCTCCTCCTCCTCCTCTTTCACCTCGACCTCCTCCTCCTTGATCTCCTCCTCCTCCTCCTCCTCCTCCTCCTCCTTCTCCTCCTCGGCCTCCTCCTCCTCGATCTCTGAGGTCCGGCGTTTTGTTGTTTGTGCATACTAAGCATTCTCGCTCTGTTCCAGGGCCCAGGACCGTCACGGATCGATCGGGCTCGATGGCACCGAAAGATTGGGTCTAGGGCTCCAGTCGTGATTTTCTGTGATGCTGCACTTTTTCCGCAACGTCGAGGCTCAAGGGGCCGTACCTTGGCCCCAGACGTCTTCGCGCTGTGGAAGCATAACTGCGGGAGGCTTCTTCCGATTTTCGGCCTCTGGCCTCGGCGGGCCCTCGCCCGGGCCTCGGGGGCGTCAGAAGATGACACGGGAGGAAAAGGCGGCCCCCCGGGAGGGGGTCTGGGCCCCGGGGGGGTCCAGGTCGCCGCGGGGTCGAGCACAACTCCGCCGAGATCCTGGCGTCGCACATGTCCTGTTCCGCGCCGGGCGCTTTTCTCGCCAGGCCCCTGGGGGTCTCCGTGCGGATGGGTCGGGCCCGAGGACTGCTGCTGGGAGGTGGGGTGCAGGGCGTCGGTCGCGATTTCCTACGATGCCGTATTCTTCGCGCCGTCGGACGTTGGAGGGGGGGCGGGGCCCTGGGGAAGTGGACGCCCAGGGCTGCCACCACAGATGGTTCAGCGCTTGGTGCCCCGGCCTCCCCGGTCAGCACCGAAGTGGGAGGGGAGGGAAAGTGGCCTCAAGAACTTGGCTGTCTCATCCTCCATCCCTTCTCATCTTGAATAACTCCTCCCTGTCGCACCACCAGACGTGTCCGTAGGCCTGGCCGGGCTTTTGGCATAACATTTCCCTACATCTTGCGTACCCTAAGCTTATCAGCCCCAACAACTACAAGGGTGGAGGGGGAGTTTTTTTTCGAAACGTGACGCTCGCCCTAGCGTCGCACACATGTGTCTGAAACGTTTACGAAACAACTGCACGGGTAAATGGCGGTACCCTTTCAAACTGTGGCTCTCGCTACAGCGCCGCGAACATTCGGCGTACAAACTTCCAACCAGTTCACGGATTGCGGTCGATCTTTTTATTTTCAACAGCGGTTCTGTCTACGTTTAGCGCGCCCGTGAACTTGTGCAACAATTGCGCGAGTGGAGGGCATCGCCTTTTCAAAATGAAGTCCTCACCCGCGGCATCGCCACACTGTAGGACCAGAAATGTAAGACACGTGCCACGCCAGTACTGATGGAGTGAGAAGCTTCTTCAAGTTGAGACTGCCGCTGGAGACCGTTTGTTCTCAATCCTCCTGTGTTGGTTTCTCGTTTTGGATAGAGCAGAGTGGTCGCCCCGTCCTTCCTCCTCCTCCGTTCTCCTCCCCTCCTCCTTCTCCCCTGTCTCCTGTGCTCCCCATCTACTCTTCGTTCGTGCCGTCGGGCCGCGATCTGTGCAACTGTCGTCATTTTCGTGGGCTCCTGGGAGGCCCAGCGGAGGTTCGTCATACGCGGATCTCGTCAGGACCTCGCGCCCCCCTGGGGGGCTTACGATCTGCGCAACTGTGGCCACTTTCGTGGGCCCCTGGGAGGCCCAGCGGAGGTACGTCATGCGCGGATCACCTCGGGACCTCGCCGCCCCCTGGTGGGCTTGCGATCTGCGCAACTGTCGCCACTTTCGTGGGCTCCTGGGAGGCCCAGCGGAGGCACGTCATACGCGGACCACCTCGGTACCTCCCCTAGGGGGCTTGCGATCTGCGCAACTGTGGCCACTTTCGTGGGCTCCTGGGAGTCCCAGCGGAGGTACGTCATACGCGGATCACCTTGGGACCTCGCCGCCCCCTGGGGGGCTTGCGATCTGCGCAACTGTGGCCATCTTCGTGGGCTCCTGGGAGGGCCCAGCGGAGGTACGTCATACGCGGATCACCTTGGGACCTCGCTGCCCCCTGGGGGGCTTGCGATCTGCGCAACTGTCGGCACTTTCGTGGGCTCCTGGGAGGCCCAGCGGAGGTACGTCATACGCGGATCACCTCGGGACCTCGCCGCCCCCTGGGGGGCATGCGATCTGCGCAACTGTCGCCACTTTCGTGGGCTCGTGGGAGGCCCAGCGGAGGTACGTCATACGCGGACCACCTCGGGACCTCGCCGCCACTGGCAGGCTTGCGATCTGAAGGGCTGCAACCACTGAGATGCCACGGGCCTTCAACCGCTTCGGAATGCTACGCGTGTCTCGCATATCCGAACAAGTGATGGTGCTCTTCTTCGCAAGCTGAAGGGACAACTCGGCGAGCAGATCGCTCGCGGTCGTGATGCCCTCCGCCAAATCGTTGCAAATAGATGACCTCGACCCCACGGCTGTCTGGGAGAGATCATCAATCCAGAGTCGATGTGACAGCCGTGGGTGGCAAATTGCGAAACGTGCCATCATTATGTTGGTGACCACCTTGGCGAACCTCTTGCCGCTCCTGAATCCTTGAATAATGTTTCGCGTGCTCTGAAATTTGCATGAGACTGCGTCGCCTTGGTCTAAAAGGCGAGATCCTGCACACGTTTGCAGTTCGAGTCCTAGCATGACTGGAAGAAGCTCATATCGGATTGCCCCGTCAACAAGTACTGGCCATTTCAATTCATCGTAGAAAGATTGAATATCTAATAGTCCGTGCCCGTGTGAGGCCTTCATCTTCGCGAACAGTTCCTCGTCGGCGGCTCTCAAGTACGCCTCGCGCAGGGGGGGGGGGGGGGGGGACCCGCAATCGCAGACATGCAATATGGCTGCCCCGCGCTGGCCCATTCCTGGATGAGAGATTCTCGTGGGGGTGGCCAAATTCTGCAGATCATGCACATGAGGCCGATCACGCTGTTGCCCGAACCCTTCTCGGGCAACAGCCGTCCTAGCACTGGCATAAGTTGCCAGGGCCGCGTCTGGCCCTGTTCACACATGGTGCATATCGCAGCGAGTTCGCTGAGCGCGTGCTCGGGTAGCCTCTCGAGGTCGATCGGGGAGACCCGATCGACCCCTTGGCCAGCCCGAGGTTTCATCCGCCGAACAGCTGCACGAATATCCTCCGCCGTGAGTGGCGTCAAGGGCCCAGGCGCTGCACGCCACCGTATGCGTTCAAAAAGCCCTCGAACTTCTGGTACTGTCTGTTTGAACCGTGATGTCCACGCGGAGTGCCAGCGAGCTGCCTTGTGATCCACAACATCCCTGGGGTGGAGAGTGGCGCCTTGATCCGAGTTGACCGAAGCTGGAGACTCCAGGTCGGCAAGAGGTGAATCTTTCGTAGCTCGAAGTATGGCGCCCGTGTCCTCCCGCTCCCCAATCCAACCCCTGAAATCAGCAAGCGAAGCCGAAATCGCATGACTACGGGCTCGCTGCGCCGCCTGCTTGGCCTCGCTCGCGTAGACGCCCAACTGCCGGCACGGAATGCCCCCAAGCTCGACAAGAACTGTTAGCCATGACGTTCACGTGGCAGCTTCTGAAGACCTGCCAGAAGACTTACATGCGCAGCCAGGCGGCTGCCCAGCCAACTTGGCCCCCGCCGCGGCGAGAGCTTCAGACTGGCAGGGCCCGTTCCCGCGCCGCTTGTGTCGAGGCAACTCATGTAGTGCCACCTGCGCGCGCCCCCGCCAGTTTGCTGCGAACTCCTGCACTACCTGGGGCCCTGAGCTCGAGTCGGCTTGTCTGAGGGGCCCAGGTCGTGATGGACTTGGTACAGGTATTCCGCGCTGCTGATCCACGCTGCATATGCACTGCTGACGTGAAGGACGTGGGGCCCTCCAACCTCGAACGCGAGTGGTGCCCTCACTGGCTCCCGATCCTGTGAAATGGCTCGAGGGCAATGACCTGCCCGAGCACGAGCCAATGGCCACGGGCGCGAGGGGAGAGCGAAAGCATGGGGCAGCAGCAGAGCCCGTGGATTTGGATGGGGCGGGGGTGTCCCCGGTAAACGTGGGAGCTCTCTCGCTGGAGGGGTTCTGGTTACCATCTACAGCTGACGCGAAATCGGGGCCCGCCGAGGCTGGTAGATTCACCCGAGCACCTTCCGACACGAGAGATGGGGGGGGGGGGCGAGGGCGAGGACAAAGAGGAATAAGTTCAGGGCATTGTTGGCCCAACGCAGCTGGGCTCGCCATCCCGCGGACCCCTCTCGTCCTCATGCAAAGCAAAGTGACATCCAGCCATGAGCTCGGGGTCATCTGGCATCGAGGGAATGCTAGACGGAGCACAACCGAGAGTTGGCTGGGGCAAGCTAGAATTGGCTTCGGGGGGGGCTGAATCTAGGATATCCCCGAAGAGCTCTGAAATGATGGAGGGCTGTTCTTTTTTTGTCACGAGGAAAGCCCTGTTTGGCAATCTGTTTCGACCGCGCCTACGATGACCGAGACCTGATCTGTGCCTGAGCCTGCGGCCGGGCAACTTGAGGCAACCTTTCGGGGTGCAACAGCGAACGAGTGATCAGTTGCCCACCCGAACTCCTGGGCTGAAGCACTAGTGCGCAGCGAGGCCTCCACGGCGCATCCTGAATCGCCTGCGCGCCTAATATGCACGGTATGGCTGACGGCGAAGCCAGTGTGTAATCTATGTGAGACGCACCACTTTTGCTGACGCACGGGTGTTCAACAGGAGCTTTCGGCACAGGCGCCCCGATTTCGCCGAGAAAGCCCCCCTGACGAGCCCGACGAGAGCTCAGACCACGGCGCGTTGAAATCTCCGAGCACCACCCACAGAAGATGGGGGGCCTGCAAAATGGACCAAATCTTGGCCAGACGTTCGAGGTTTTGACCAGCGTATCCCTGGGAGTGGTGCCCTTAAAAAACTACTGTGATATAGCCTTGCTGCCTCACAACTACAGGGGGAAGTCCGTCGAGCATGCTCAAACCCTCCGAGCACAACTGAGACAACTCGCTGCTGTGTTGAGACAAGGCATGTGTTCGACGGCGGCCTTCGGAAAAAAGAATTTGCCACCTTCCGTAGCACGCGATTGCCCCGAGGCAGCGAGACACGGGCGCCCCGTGGGTCTCGCTTCATTCACATGGCAACGAAATTTGGCGAGACGTGATTTTCTCTTCCAATCTGCAACTGCGCTGTCTCCAACGCGCGTCTCGCAAATGGCGAAATGCTGGAATACTTCGTCCGATCGGAGATGGCAAATATAACCCCACGCCTTTCGACAGAGGAAAATGAGGTGACTGAGGGAAATCGGTGTGACCGCTGACGCTGAATCCCCACTTGAATCAGCTGACGATCGCCTCGAACGAGATGATGCAGCTGGTGAGCCTGAAGCCTTCCCTGCTGAGGCTTTGGGCTCCTGCGCCCCAGAACTCATGGACGGTGAGAAAGAACTCGCCGATCTCGGCTGTGCCGTCGACGGTGATGAAACCTGCTGGCCCTCTGAGACTGAACATGCTACACGGGGCGAGGGCGCCCTCGCGAGCCTGTTGGGGGCACTGCTGGCCCCCTGTGATGATCACGCTGGCGCCGCCGCCGCGGCCTGAGGGCCCTGGGCGGCGCCCTGATCGGCTGCGCCAGTCATGGCGTTGGCCGCGGCCTGCGCTGCCTGCGCCGCCGCCGCCGCTGCCGCCTCCTTGGCTTTCTTGATGCGCTGCACCGCCGCCTCGATCGCCTCGGCGTGCTGGCGGGCGGCGGCGTCGGTCTCGCCCGTAGGGCTCGATGCCGCCGCAGCCGACCCCGCGGCGCTGCTGTCAGCTGCCGCAGGGGCCTGGCTCGCCGCTGCCGCAGACGCGGTGCCTGCGGGAGTGGCCTCAGCAACCCCACCGCCCTCGGCCCTGCGCTTCTTGGCGTGGCGGGCGGTGACTGCCTCCTGCACGGCCTTCACCCTATCCCTCCAGTTCGTGATGGACTCGCTCTTGACCGTGAGATCCTTCTTGGTTGCCTGCAGGCCGGCCTCGAGCTTTAGCAGGGTCTCCTTCTCGGTGCCCTCACACTCGTACTCGCCTGACCGAACCTTGTCGAAAAAGTCCGTGCCCCAATCGATTTCGAACTTGACCTTCCCGTCCTTGGGTGCCTGATCCGCTGCTTCGGCAGCGGGGACTGCGGTGAAACCCGCCTGCGCCGCCGTCCTGCGGGCGATCTCGGTCTCGGCGAAGACCCTCACGGTCTCTGCCTCCTTCGCCTCCGCCCGCCAGAGCGCCTCGCGGCATCTGCTGACTTGCTGCACCGCCTGGTCGTGCTTGTAGTTCGCCCGATTGACCGCCTCCTCTGCTGTCTGAGGAGGGGCCGCGGGCTGCGCCTGCTGATGGATGGCCGCCGCGAGGTCCCGGGCGACGCCGAGAGCCTGGGTGAGGACCTCGATCGGAGGCGCCGCGACGGCGAGCTGAAGCTGGTTGCCTCTTGCTGCACCTCCTTTGCGGCCGCTGCCTCCTTTGCCACTCTGTTGCCTCCACCCTTCGGCGTGTATATCTTCACCTGTCTGCTGCAGCGTGTACATTTGTTCGACTTGTGTGCCAACACGTCGTTCCACTCGTGCCGATGACAGCCATGGCAAGTGGACCACGTGCGAGCTGGCTGCTGCTGCTGCTGCTGCTGCTGCTGAAGTACCGTATCCTTTGCCTTGCCCATTTCTCCCACACTTTGCCAATCAGATCGTCCGCAGAAAAACAGGGGCGGCAGAATGATTGCCCCCCAAACGCCCCGTGGAGGCGGTGGGCGCTGGACTGAACAACCTGCCTCACACACGGGGGTGAGAGTACTTGGTGCTCGAGCCCAAGTTGCTTGAGAGGAGGAGGACGAGGAGGAGGAGGAGGAGGGTGGAGGGAGAGAGGAGGAGGAGGAATAGGAGAAGGAGGAGGAGGAGAAGGAAGAGGAGGGGGACGCGGGGAATGCTTGCCCCGTGGTGACGGGGGTGCGTGGCCGACTCTGACGCCGCTGGGCTGAGGGAGGATTGCACGAAGCTAGGTCGAATCTGAAAATCGGATCGAGGGAAATCGGACATCTCTCAAATCCAGCGGGCTTGGAGGACGTATCGGGCATTGCGGCCGGTCCAGAGCGCTCCAGAACTCCCTCAGAGCGCTCCAGACAGCTATGATAGCGATCTGTTTGTTGGCCTGACCGAGAAGAAGACTGGCATGAAGCAGATTGGTCCTCACGCATACGAGCACGACAGCAAGGACGAAGACGTATCATCGCATTGCTCATCTCCATGTCCGAGGGAAGTATGACAAGGCCCAGCGCGGGGAGCAGGAACCTGGCCGGTGAACCAATCCAATTCAAGGTAAGGGCGAAGCGCACCCCTGGCCAACGGACAGGCCTGGCGCCCCTTCAAGAGCGGGCAAGAGGTGGGTGTCCAAAAGGGGGGGGTGCAAATCATGGCCGACGGCATGTGCGCGGCCCAGCGGGGGGGCCCGGACCGTAATGAAATAAGAAGAGGCGCCATGAGATCTGGGGAAATATCATGCCCCCCGCCATGATATCCACCCCCCCCTAGTCATCACCCCCTTTTTTCCGCCCCCCGACCCCTCGCGTGCCGTCCAGCCGGGGCGCACCTGGTCTGCGCGCTTGTGAGGGGCAACGTCAGGGGGGGCCCGTTCAGGGGGGCAACATCGAGCTGGAATCGGTGATGCATCGCCGATCGATCGGCGATAGTCCCCCGATAGCAGAACTGCACGCTCCTGGGGGAGGTGGGACATCGGGCCCCTATCGGCGATCCATGGGCGATCTGGGGTCGATACGTTCCTGCCTGAGCCTGTCCCCCCCCCGACGTTGCCCCTGGAAGACGCCGACGACCTCCACCGAGCGACGGGTGCCCACCAATCGATCGCGCCCGATGGGTGGCGCCGCAGACGCCGGGAAGGCGCTGCTTGGGGGGAGGAGCCTTAGCGAGGCAGAGGGAGAGGAGACCAGTTCCTCGGTGCGCAGAGGGAGCCTATAGTTCCTCGGCGCAGCCCCTAGGCTTCGGTCGGACATGTCCCCCGACAGGCGGATTTTGAGGGAAAAATTCAAAAGAGTCCAAAACAACCAAAAATAGTTAAACAAAAATGCAAAACAGATCGTCCCCATACGGTTTTTTATGACTATTTTTGAATCTTCCTCCTATAGAGGGACAGGCCCGACTGGACCCTAGGCCTCACAGAGAGGGCCGCTGGAGGTCTCCATAGTTCGGCGGGGGAGAGCTTTCTGGGCAGACCAGGGCCACTCCCGCCCGAGGCTGTCAGAGCGCAGCCCGCGGGGCGCGCGGCCCTCCAGTCCCGCCGCGGACCGCGGAGCGCAGGAAGCGCCGCAGGTTGGCGGCGTAGAGCGGCGCGGCGCCGCCGTCCCCGGGCGGGCCCTCCTGCAGCTCGTGCCCCCGCCCTGGCAGCACGAGCGTCTCCGCGGCCCAGGCCCGCACGCCGCTCGTCGCCTGCGCGGGGACGTTCTGTGGTTGGCCGCGCGCAGGGCGCGGCCCTGGGCGCGAGTGGCCGCTGGTGCGCGGCGTCCGGGGGCCGCGGGGGTGAGGGGATCGGCGACCTGGGATCGGCGATACGCCGCCGATAGATGGGCGACAGGCCCCCCCGCATGATCTTGGGCCAGGTGCGCTGTCGGGCCCCTATCGACGATGACTCGGCGATTGAGGGCCGATATATCCCCCCCCTGACGTGGCCCCTGAGGGGAGTGCCAACTCCAAGCGCGCAGGCCTCTTCAAGCCCGTGCTGGTGGGGGCCCTTGTGGACCCGCACCAGAAAGGCCACTCAAGCGAAGGGCCACTCTTGTGCGCGGCTGGTCTTGTCAGCGGAGCCCAAGAGCACGAAGGTTGGCACCTCGCTGGGCGAAAGTAGCAAGTTTCCGGCGGCGTCCATAGCACCATCTGTCTGCCAGTACCCCGTCTGCAGATGCAGTATCCCCGCGGCCTCCTCTGGAGCGAGGGCCACGGTGTAGCCGTCGCGAGCGGCTGTGCCGTTCATGCAGCTGCGCAGGTACCTAGCTCGTATGCCCGGATGCGCCACCGGGCACAGTGCGATGCAGAACGCGAGCGCCAGCCGGTAGGGCTCCCGGGCAAGCGCGAGCGCGTGCCAGCCACCGCTGCTGGCGCCGACCACCCCAACCGGCAGACCCGGCCACAACTCCATGCGAGCGAAGCGCACCACGGCGGCCAAGTCCTGAGTGGCCGTAGGATGCGGATGGCCGGCGCCCTGCCGGTACGACGTGGCGACGACAGCGACGCCCATCCGGGCCAGCATGGCGCTCACTCCCGCCTGGCTCTCGCAGTTGCCCAGGGCAAAGACACCACCGTGGGCGAACACCGCCCCCGCCCATGGGCGTGAACTCGGAGTGGAAATCCGAGCGTCCACGCTGACCCCATCTGCCACGCGCACGGACGAGGCTGTCGTGGTGAAAGTCCAGGCGGGCTGCTGCGCCGCGCAGTGGCTTCCCGCAGCACTCGCACACTGCATGTGCACAGGAGTTAAGATTCTCAGACCACCATGGCGAGAGACCTTTGGCGACCTTACCATCAGGGCAGCGCGCACACACGCTCGAGCGAATGGCTTTGTCCAAAAATGCTACGGAGGAAAAGACAAAGGAACAGTAAGGAATCGTGCCCCCCACCAGCCAAGCTCGCGGTTATGGTTGGTGGCCCAGTTCTCCTCAGCACGGCTTCCCAGCCACTTCTCCAAAGCCTAAAGGCATTGCTCGAGGACTTGACCCCTCCGACTGCCACCCGGGCCACAGCGGCCAGTAGGAACTCTTTAGTGCACACTCCGAGTATTGAAGTGCCGCACGGATCCACCTCACGACAATGACGAGGCGTCGAGTGCAAAAACGTCGAAGCCAAGGACGAGGAGGACGAGGTCGAGGAGGACGGGGCCGAGGAGAACGAGGAGCACGGAGGGGACGATGACGTCGACGACGAGGTCAACTAGAACGGGGACAATGACAACGACGATCAACCTGTCGCCCCCCGGGCGCATCTTGCTTCCGAAGGCCAGCGCCGAACAAAGGGCCGACGTCGGCGACGCTCAAGACAGAGTGGAGGGGGGCCAGGGGCGCCCCCCCCACTCCAGGGACAATTTCTACGACTCAGACCTCCAACGCATTGAGGAAAATTTGCGCGGAAGTTGTCGTCGTTTTCGGCATCCCAGGGCCTTCGCAGGGCCCGGGGACAGTCAAGAAGACTCAGGATGAAAAGCCAGCCCAGGGGAAAAAGAAAATCTCTGGTGGGGTCAGTTCTGGATGGAAAATGCGAGAAACACAAACGCCAACAATTCTGCACAGACACCGCGCGCCAAGGAACGCTCAAAGACGCGCTTCCGGCGAAGCGAGCCGTCCCACAAGAAAAGAAGGGGCCGTGAGGCCAGGGGCCCGGGACCCAGACACACTCCACACACACACACACACCGTGGACACACCGTGGACACACCGTGGGCACACCCTGGGCACACCCTGGACACACCTCAGAGACACCCAGACACGTGCCACACACACACGCCACACACACACACACACCACGCACGCGCCAGACACAAGCCAGCCACACGCCAAACGGACGCGCCAGGCACACGCCAGACGCACGCCAGGCACACGCCAGACACAAGCCAAACACATGCCAGACACAAGCCAGACACACGCCACACACACACACACACACACACACACGCACACACACACGCGCGCCAGACAAATGCCAGATACACGCCAGACACGCGCCAGACGGACGCAAGGTACACGCCAGACACACGCCAGGCACACGCCAGACACAAGCCAGACACACGCCAGACATACGCTACGCACGCGTCACGCACGCACACGGACACACACACACACACACACACACACACACACGCGCGCCAGACACACGCCAGGCACATGCCAGACACACACACACACACCAGAAAAACGCCAGATGCAGACACACGCCAGACACAGGCCAGACACACGCCAGACAGACCCACACACAAACCAGACACACCCCACACAGACACACTCACACACACACACACGCCATGTACACCCAGACACATGCCAGACACACGCACACACATCAGACACACCCAGACACACCCGGACACACGCTAGACACACCCATACAAACGCCAGACACATGCCAGACACACCCCTAGGCAAGCGCCAGACACACTTCAACACACGCAAAACACACTTGGACACAAACCACACACGCGCCAGACACACGCCGGACACACGCCAGGCACCCGTCAGGCACGCGTCAGACACACCCAGACATCCCGACACACCCCAGGATGACGACGACGACAAGGACTGCAACGACTGCGAATGCGACGACCCCATATCCAATTCCGGCGACTCCGACGCCGGCAACGATTCCACCTCCGACGACTCCGACGACGATGAGCCTCCGATCGCCTCTCTCTGCCTCGCCCCTCCTTTACTCTACAAGCCGCTGGATGCAGAAATACTGACCGCTGGGGTCGAACAAGACTTGATCAGGCCCCCATTTGACCGCGGGGCCCCGGGACAACGTTGGATTCAAAACCGATTTCGGAGTTTCTGATGCATCCCTCACCCCGTTGAATATCATGAAGGCCAAATGGGGCCCGCATCAGAAAGAGGACTTCCGCCCAACAATTCTTGACAAAAGCTTCCGATCGCCGTCGCGCGGGACTGCTTCGCGCAAAGTTTATAACTGCTTCTCATTTGAACTCAGAATGTCGATTCCGCCTGGGGCTTCCTTGCACAAAAGCGCCCGGTCGCTTTCCATGCCGCCCTGGTGGACCGGTGGTTGCATGCAGAAGCATCGCTCGCTCCGACGCTGCGAACTCACCGCAGTCGCAAGACGAATGATGCGCGCGCCAATGCGGAGCACGGGCAACATTCACAAGTGGCATGATTTGAAAGTGGCATGGTTCCGTGCGCTGGCGGAAATCATTGCAAGCAACAGCGCTCGCCCCGACGCGGTAGATTCACCACAGTGGCAAGACGACGGACGCGCGCGCTAGTGTGGAGCATGGGCAACGTTGGAAAATGGCATGAGTCTGCGCGCTGGCGGCGGTCAACCCAGTGGATGCAGGAGTGCTGGCCGCTGGGCTCGAGCAAGACATGGCCAGGCCCCCGTTCGGCCGCGAGGCCCTTGGACAATGTTGGATTCAAGACCGACCTCGAAGTGTCTGATGTATCCCTCACCATTGTGAAAACCATGAAAGGGCCATTGGGGACCCGCATCAGAAAGTGGAATTCTCCCCGATCTTTCCTGACAGAATATTTCGGACCACCCTCGAGGGGGATCAGAAACTCAGCCATCAGAAGGTGGCGACTTCGCGCGGCACTTCTTTGCGGCAAATTTCCGGTTGCTTCTCAAGTCAACTCAGGATGTCGACTCCGCGTGGGGCTTCCTCGCAGCAAAAACGCCCTGTCGCTTGCCATGCCACACTCGTGGAGAACCGATCGCGGCTTTCTTATCCAGGGGGTCGTTGCAAAAACGCTCGCTTCGACGCGGTAAACTCACCACAGTCGCAAGACGAATGATGCGCGCGCCAATGTGGAGCGTGGGCAACATCAAAAAGTGGCATGATCCCGCGCGCTGGCAGCGGTCATTGCAACAAGCGATCGTCCCGACGCGGTAGATTCACTGCAGTCGCAAGACGTCGGATGCGCAAGCTGATGTGGAGCATGGGCAATGCTGGAAAATGCGCAATGCGTCCGCGCGCTCGCTGCGGCCACCCCGCCGGATGAAAAAAAGTGTCGACCCCTGGGATCGAGAGAGACATGGCTGGGCCCCCGCTCGGCCGCGGGGCCCTGGGACAGTGTGAATATTGAAGGGGAACTGGAACACACAAATAAATACACACAAATAAAAATATCCCCCATATTTTCCCATATTTTCTGGGTTTTTGTCTTCCCCACCACTTCCCATATTTTTGCATATTTTCCTGAGAATCGACGATTAATTGTGTCTGTGTGTTTTTTCCTCCTGAAATATGAAGACCGGTTCCAAAGATTCTGGTGCATCCCTCACCTCGTGTATTGTTGTAACGGCCAAGCGGGGCCCGCAGTAGGAATTCGCATTCCGCCCAACACGTCCTCACACCAGCGTTTCGGATCGCCCTCGGGGGCGATCATAGTCTTTGCCATGCCACTAGGAAGTGGCGACTTCGCTCGGGACTTCCTCGCGCAAAATTTCTGACAGCTTCTCATGCCGCCTCAAATTGTCGATTCCGCTCGGGGCTTCCTCGCACAAAAATGCTCGGTCGCTTTGGACTGCCGATCGCAACCTTTTAATCCAGGGGGTGGTTGCAAACAACAAGACACGCTCGCTCCGACGCTGCGAAGTCACTGCAATCGCAAGACGAAGGACCGGCGCGCGAATGTGGAACATTGGAGACATTTGAAAGTGGCACGATTCCGTGCGCTGGCGGCGGTCATTACAAAAAAACGCTCGTCCCGACGCGGTATATTCACAACAGTCGCAAGACGACGGATGCGCGCTACTGGGCGACGTTGAATTGAAATGACTCCGCGCGCTGGCGGCGACCAACCCGCTGGATTAAAAAGAGCTGGCCCCTGGCATCGGGGAAAACGTGGCTGGGCCCGCGTTCGGCTGCGGGGCAATGTTGGATTCAAAGCCGACTTCGGAGTTTCTGATGCACCCCTTGCATAAAGGCCAATTGGACCCGCATCAGAAAGTGGCATTCCGCCCGATACATCCTGAGAAGAAGTTTCTGATCGCCCTCCAGGGCGATCAGAAACTTTGCCACGCCATCAGCAAGTGGCGACTTCGCTCGGGACCTCCTCGCGCAAAACTTTTGATTGCTTCTCATGCCACCTCAGAGTGCCGATTCCGCTTGGGACGTCCTCGCGAATAATGCCTGGTCGCTTTCCATGCCGGCCTTGGAAGTGCCGATCGCCACCTCTTAATCCAGGGAGTGGTATGGCCGATACTTCGGAGGCGTACTACCTCAAGAAATTCCACGACTGCTACCGCAAACCAGCCGGTGTAGACACATAGCAGCGCATGTGTCTACACCAACAGCTGTTTGTCTACACTCAAACTGGTTGTGTCTAGCCCTCCCAGGAAACTGCTCTTTTGAAGAACGCTGGCGAATACTTTCGAACGCATCCTGGCCTCGCAATTGTATGACGTGAGGGTGGTTGCTGTGCGTGGACGTATTGGATGTTGCAGCGCACGCGCGCATACAACAGTGGAATGTGGACACATCTCGGGTTTGGTATGTTTGAACAGCGCGAACATGTTGAGAGGACGACGCGCAAGAGACACCCCGGACCGATCCAAACAGACACATATACATCCCAAACACACACACACACACCAGACACACCCCAGCATGTACTCCACACGAACGCCAGGCACACGCCAGACACACGCCAGGCACACGCCAGACACACGCCAGACATACGCCAGACACACGCCAGACGCACGCCAAACACACGCCAGACACACGCCAGACACACGCCAGACACGCGCCAACACACGCCAGACACACGCCAGACACGCGCCAGGCACACGCCAGACACACCTCAGACACGCGCCAGACACAACCAGACGCTCCGCAGACATGCCCCAGACATACCCACGCCAGACGACGACAACGACGACGACGGCGACGACGACGCGGACTCTGACCACTCTCACTGCAACGACTCCATCTCGAACTCCAACGACTCCGACTCCGACGCCGACTCCGACTCCGACGACTCCGACTCCCAACGCGGTCAGGAAGGCGTTGATGCGACTTTCTGCAC